CGGGGCGGGCAGCCACCAGGGGGCACCAGCGCCCCGGCTGGGCTTCCGGGGACCCAGCTGTCCACACCAGTGGAGAAGAGCGTAACTGTCCACCCAGCGCGGATGGAGCGGAGGGTCCTCCCCCGCCCCTCCCCTCATCCCCTGCCTCCTCCTCTTCTCCTCCTCCTTATCCCCTTCCTCTTTCTCCTTCCCTCCCCTCCTCTTCCTTCTCCTCCCTCTTCTCTCCCTCCCCCCTCCCCCTCCCCCTCCCCCTCCCCCTCCTTGGGTGGGACTAGGGTTTCTTGCTTGCTGGGCTTACTTACTTGGCTGGTACTTTGCCACTTGAGCTATACCTACACTCCTGCTTTTTGCTGGTTATTTTGAAGATGTCTCATGGACTTTTCTTCCTGGACTGGCCTCCACCTTCAATCCTCTGGATCTCAGCTTCCCGAGTAGCTAGGATTAGACATAAGCCACCAGTGCCCGGCTTGGAGGAGTTGTATTTAGGAGGATAAAGGAGTAAGGGCTGAGTGGCTCGCGGGGGCCGGGCCAGGCCTGGCGGTTGAGTTGTGACAGCCAGGAGGGAGGCAGGTGTGGGGCTTGGCTGGCCGTGGGAGGGCAGATGATGGGGAAGTGGAGGGCAGGGGCTGGATTTTGTGCCAGCCCTCCAAGGGGAGGAGAGAGAAGGGGCCTGGAGAGGCCGCAGGGGGGAGGGGCACTAGCAGGCGTGGGCAGCGGGGGAGGGGCCCCAGGATTCAGTCTGCTCACAGGGACACAGTCGCCTGAGGCCCAGAGACTGCTGCCAAGGGCAAGGAGACATTGTCTCACGTCACCAGGCTCTCTGGCTGTGGAACGCACCCAGGGCTGTGGGCTGCCTGGCACCCATGGGTGCTGAGGAATGCTGGTGGGGCCAGAGCGGACACACACAGACCTCCTGCCCAGCCCACACATGGCCTCGCCTATCTCCACCTGCCTTTTTGCATCCCAGAGACTGACCCAGAAGACATGATTCACTTTCCCTTCCCCCTGCCACACCATCCAGAACATTCCATTCCTCTCCTGCATCCTTTCATCCGGAGATCTCAGGCTCTGGGGTGTCTGGAACCTCAACACTTACAGATGCCGAGTGTTTTCTTTGGTGGGTGGGGAAACTGAGGCAGGTGGCAAGGGCTGTGGAAGGCTCTGCCTCGGGGTGTTTACCTGTAAGATGCAGGGGTTCTCCAGGAGGCTTGGTGGCCACAGCTGACCGGCCGTCCTGCGTAGTGGCTTCCCCCAGTATTGAGAGGGGAGGGGCTTTGGGGACCTCGGCTGACAGGTGAGCCTGTGACACCCGAGCCTCACCGTCCACCGCGGTCCACCCAGCCCGTGCCCCTTATGCTTGCCTGGGTGGTGACCCCAGACACCACCAGGGAGGCCCCATCGGGGCCAGCACGCCTCTGTCCCGGCCAGGCAGCTTGTGAGCCTCAACCTGCCCTACTCCTAACATCCCGCAGGCCCGCGCCCAGCCTTCCTTCCCCTTCCTGGATTCAAACCAAAGCCTAGTGTGGGGTCTCCCTAGCCTCTGCCCCTCTGCCCGGCCCGCGTGTCCTGTCCCCATGAAAAATCCCAGCATGCCGACCCCCACGGCCAGGAGGCAGGTGGGAGGAGGAAGTGGACTTGTGGCTGGGGCTGCAGGGGATGGGCGCTGGTAGAAATGGTTTGGCCCAGCCCGGAGCCCCAGCTAAGAGGCCTGGTGTCCCTAGAGAGCTCCAGGCAGAGCACAGGAGGCTGTGGCTGGCTTGTGGCCCCAGCCCAGAGCCCCACGGCCTGGGGATGGGCAGAGGCCCTAGGCAGACAGGCCTGCCAGACCCCGCTGCGGCCCTGGAGGCCTGCTGTGTAACTGCCCACCGTCTAGGCACAGCGTGGGGCTTCACAGGCCCTGCCTGTGGTGTGCAGATTCCTGCAGCACTCTCGAAGAAGGGCGCGTGTCCACCAGGCGCAGCCCGTGGGCAGGACACGCTGGCAGAGTGCAGAAAGCAGCAAAGGGCTAGGCTGAGAGCGAGCCGGTGGTGGGGTCAGCGAAGCTGGGAGGGCGGGGCTGGGGGGGGAGCAGAGGGGGGGGCGGGAGTTCAGTGCGCCACTGGGAGCCATCCACGTTCAGTGCCGAGGACCAGTGAGCAGCCCCGGCAATGTGGAATTAAACCCTGTGTGTAGATCTGGGTGAACTGTGATGGGCAGCGCGTGGCCCTCAGGCAAATCCTGGCCGCCCCGGCCGCTCCCAGGGTCCGGGAGGCACCTTCCACCTGGTGGAGGGGTACTGTGGGGAGGGCCAGCCCAGCCTTCCACACAGCCAGTCCCAAAACTCCCCCAAGACTTGCAACCCAGGATCCCCGATTCTCCAGAGGGCTGTGCCCACCGTGCGTGGCCAAGATTTGAACAGATGCCGCCAGACCCCTAGAGGATCTGAGATCTGGATGGGAGGAGGGTAGGCCACAGCCCCTGGAGGTCAGGCTGTCCCCTGAGATCACCTGCTGTCCCTCCTGGGTACCAAGTGGCCAGTGTGACACTGGGCCTGCAGCCTCTGCTCCCAGGAGCCCCTTCCCCCGTGTCTCATCAACTGTCTGGAACAAAGAGACTCGAGGGCCCGCAGGGCAGCCTGCCCACCGGGCAGCTCCCGGGCACTAGCACGGAGCGCCGGGCAGGATGCAGCCTCGGGGTAAGAGCGGGTGGACGCTGGTGTTCTGGGCACCTGAACAGACAGGAGAGGCTGAGGGGGCTGGCCCAGGGCAGGCGCACAGACAGGGGCCAGCGAGGGGAGGCTGTGGCCAGCGAGGGGCTGCTGGTTGGTTTGAAGGCCGCTCAGGGCCAGGCTACACTGGGTCATGGGGCTCCGAGGCTGTCGGGGGACACTCCTCAGACTTTTGTGTTCCAACATGGTCCAGGCAGGGCGCAGTGGCAGGTGGGGCAGGTGGCCTCCCCTCCCTCCCCCCCAGCCCCAGGCCTCAGATCCAGTGACCAGGCTCGGGGCTGTCACACCGGTCACTGGGTACCCACGAGGGACAGCAGGTGACCTGTTATCTCAGGGTACAAGGGAGGGAAGGGAGGAAGGGACAAATAAGGGACAAAGACAAATGCCCTTGTACTGCCTGTACCTGGGAGGTTCCCAGGGAGGGGGCGCTAAATGTGGGGGGGCGGCTGAGAGGCCTGACCCGCACCCCCAGGAACGCCATGCTGTCTCAGAGGAGGCTCCGAGCTAGAGAGACTTCTTGGGAGAAAGTCCAGGGCACAGGCCCCAGGGTGGCAGCTGCCCTGAGGAACTTCCTTCCTATTCCCGGTTCCCTTTGGACGTCTGGTTCTGGGGGAGACGGACAGAGCCGCGTGGGGAAGAGAAGACGCCCCCAGGGCCCTGAGTGCGCTGGTCTTTGGCTGACCGGTCCCCACTCGCTCCCGATCCCTCGGGGTCCCAGGGGAGGGGGCTTGGCGCCCTGCCACCCACCCTCGCTTGTCATCGGCTCCCAAAATAGCCATGGCGTGGGCCTTTGCTCTGGGCGCTTCCGGGCCAGCTGGCAAAGAAAGCAGGTTTTGTCTCCGCCTGGTCAGCCCCGGCAGGGACATTTGGGCCTCAGAGGCCAGAAGAAAGGCCTTTCTCTCTGGAGCCTGCCACCAGGGCCCGGCAGCCCTCCACACCCGTCCCCTGGGGCCCCAAGAGGCCTCACTCTGGGGTGCAGTGCCCAAACCTTCCCTGCCCACTGGCCAGTGGAAGGCCCATTTGTGGGGAGCCCGAACGCCAGAGCCTTGGGCAGGGGGCGGGGCGGGGGGCCCCAGAGCTGCGGAGGAGGGGCCGATGGGACACGCCGGCCTGAACTGACCTGGTGACTCTGTAGTGCCCGCCGAGCGACCAGGCTGCTCTTGCTGCTTCCCCAGCCCTGTCCTGCTCGTGGGTTCCCACCAGAGTTCTGGCGAAAGTGTGATGTCCACGTGCCCACACGTGTGGGCCTGTGTGTGCTGTGTGCACGTATGTGAACATGTGTGTCCCTGTTTGTGGTATGTGTGTCTGTGGGGCTACAAGCCACACCCCCCAACCCGGGTTGTGTCCCCAGGATTCTTTGTCCCACCATGGTGGCCCTGGTGGCTAACCTCCTGGGAGCCGTGCTCAGCCTGGCCTGCATTCCCAGCACCACCAAGAAGGCCCAGGCCCCGCCTCCAGGTGAGCCCCTCCTGGCCAAGCCAGGACTGTGACTTCTGGGACACACAAGAGATCCGGGAGCCACTTCTCTCTTGAGCCCCTCTTGGCTACGGACTCCGCAGGAGCGGCACTGGGAGTGGGGCCTGGACAAGCGGGCCTGGGGAGACAGGGGTGGCAAGGTGCGTGGGGCACGCAGTTCTCAGGGCTCCAAAGCTCCAGCTGGCCAGTGAGCCTCATACGCCGGGGGGTCAGGTCTTCTCAGGGAGGCCCCCGGCCCCAGCCCGAGTGCCAGACAGGGCAGGACCCCAGGCCTCTGCCCAGGGGCTGAGATGGAGATTTGCCTCTCATCACCAGGGACAGTGCCTGAGGGGGCAGCCAAGCCCAGCACAGGCCTGAGACACAGCAGGTGAAAGTGGCCAGGGGGCAGGCACACCGCCTGACAGTTGCTGCCTTCTGGCCTTTTTGTTTGTTTGGGTTGTTGTTGGGTTGTTTGTGTCAGTAATGGAGTGTGAGCTAGGGCCTGGGCGCTGTCCCTAGCTTTGTCTCTTCAGGGGGCTCTACTACCTGAGTCACAGCTCTGTGGAGAGAGAGAATGTAATCAGAGATAAGAGTCTTACAGACTGGGGCTGGGAAGGTGGCTCAGTGGTAGAGCACTTGCTTCGCATGCATGAGGCCCTGGATTCGATTCCTCAGCACCACATAAGCAGAAAAAGCCAGAAGTGGCGCTGTGGCTCAGGTGGTAGAGCGCTAGCCTTGAGCTGAAGAGCTGAGGGACAGCGCCCAGGCCCAGAGTTCAGGCCCCATGACCAGCCAAAAAAGAAAAGAAAAGAAAGAAAGGAAGAGTCTTACAGACTTTCCTGCTGGGATTGGCTTCAAACCACCATCCTCAGATCTTAGTCTTCTGAGTAACCAGGATTACAGGCGTAGCCACCAGCACCAGATCCTTTTTGTTTTGTTTTATTTATTTTTCTGCTTGGCTGTTGGTTGGTTTTGAGCCAAGCTTTTACTTGTTTTCTTTTTGTCCTGAGGCTGGCACTCTACCACTTGAACCATGCTTCTTTTTTCAGCTCTTTGATAGTTAATTGAGGGTCAGAGTCTCTGACTTTTCTGCCCAGGCTGACTTTGAACTGCCGTCCTCAGATCCCAGCTTCCTGACTAGCTAGGATCACAAGCGTGATCTAATCCAGAGCAGCTGTCCTGACCACGTGGGCTGGGGGCTGAGGACCTCCCTGACTCCACCGGGCCCAGCAGGGTCCCTGAGGACAGGTGCACTCTGTCCCGGGGCTCCTAGCGTGAGGGACGGTGCGGCGGCCTCCCAGGGGCACAGGGGAGGGGACTGCCGAGTGGCCAGCCCCCTTGTGGGCAGAGCCACGCCCCCAGCCATGGCCCCACAGCCAGGCCGAGCCCACCAGTGCTCTGACCGGCATCCCTGGGTGGGGTGGGGGGCGGCCAGGTGGAGCCAAGGCCAGCGTGTTTGACCTGAAGGCCATCACCCGCCTGCTGCTGCTGCCGGGCGTGCTGCCCGTGTTCCTCATCAAGGTCATCTCCGGCTTCCCCTCAGGTGAGTTCACCCGGTCAGCACCCCGTGTGGTCCACGGTTCCTGGCACTGAGGGTGGAGGCCCGAATCCCTGCAGTGCCCCTGCCCTCTGCCCGCCTCGTGTCCTCTACATCCCCGTCACCAGGTCTGCCCTGCGTCAGGCCGGCACGCCCATCCATGGGGGCTCAGAGGGGAGGGGGTGTGTGGGGTGCTGCGCTGCAGGGGGGAGGGGGGAGGGAAGGCGTCACCCATGCTGTCCCTGGCTTCACCTGATCGCAGTCCCTGTAGCCCAAAGGCTCACAGTGCCCAGATCCCTCCATCCCCTGCCACCGTAGCCACCCTTGGCTTCAGAGGCCAAGACACTAAGAGGGGAGATGAAGGAGCCTCGGACCCTCGCTGTCCACGCCGAAGGCGCCCAGGCCCCACTGCCTCCAGGGTGGGCTCCCAGGGCGGGGCGGGCTCCCGGGGCGGGCTCCTGGCCGGCCGTGGAGGCGCCCGCAACGTTGGAGCATGCGTGTGGCCCTGACCAGCCGCCCTGACCAGCCGCCTGGCCTCTGCCCTCCACGCAGGACTCTTCATGATCATGTTCTCCATCATCTCCATGGACTTCTTCCAGCTGGAGGCCGCACAGACCGGCTACCTCATGTCTTTCTTTGGGGTCCTCCAGATGGTGAGCAGGGCACACAGGGCCTCTGCCGGGGAGGTAGGGAATGGGGGGTCTCAGTGAAGAGGTGCCTCCAAGTTTGGCCCAGCAGCACTCCCACCCTGGGGATCCTCCGCTCCGTGGCCTCCGCCCGCGCCTTCCTCTCTCAGCTTCTTCTCCAGCCCTGCTCTGAGCGCCATCTCATTCAGACCACCTAAAGACCCCAAGCGGGTGGCCAACCATCTGCCTGTCGGAGGAGGAATGCCCAGGAAGGCGCAGCCCAGTGGGAGCTGGGGGGCCTTGGCTGCCCATCCACACACACACCACACACCTGGCCCACACGCAACAGGTGCCGTGTGGGTGCTGGGTTGGCGCCGCAGACCCCAGAGCTGGAGCTGGCCTGCTGTGTGGGTGGCGGGCCTGGCCAGCAGCGGTCCAACTTCTGCCCCCAGCCCCGGACTGGAATGAGTTCCTAACCTTCATTCCCTGTATGTGCCCACCCAGGGGTCTCTGGCAAATGCCACGAGGTAGAAAGGCCGAGCACCAGGCCCCGGGGGGCCCGACAAGGACGCAGAGAGCTGGCCCACAGCTCCTGGTCAGCTGTGCCTCCTGGCTTCAGGTCCTAGCCAGTCCCTCCTGCCCCCCCAGCTCTTCCTGGACATCTGAGCCTGGGGTGACAGACAGTTGGTGGTGTGTCCCCAGGCCCAGGCGGCGGGAGAGCTGGCCAGCTGGACTATTGTGGGAGCCGCAGGGGAGGGCTCTGAGCTCTCGGAAGTGCATGGCATTCCAGCACCTCCACACCACCTGCTCCCGTGCTAAGCCCAGGGCCAGCCTAGACCTGGGGCTAAAATAGCAGCTCCAGGAAGGCACTGGACATGGAAGGCCACCACTTGGCAGCCAGCTGGGAGGGGACGCCCCCGTGGGGAACAGGATCCATGGAAGCCAGGCGCCAGTGGCTCGTGCTTCTAATCCTAGATACTCAGGAAGCTGAGATCTGAGGATCGTGGTCTGGAGCCAGCCCAGGCAGGAAGGTCTATGAGATTCTCATAAAAGCTAGAAGTGGAGGTGTGGTTCACAAGGTAGAGTGCCCGCCCTGAGGGAAAACGCTCAGCCAGAGCAGCCAGGCCCTGAGCTCAGGACCCAGGACCTCCACAAAAAAGAAAAGACCCCCATGGTAGACAGGCCACTTGGCCATCCTTCAGAGCTCGTCCTGAATAGCCCAGTTCAGAGTACCTGGGGGTGGGGGCAGCCCAGAGCTGCAGGGGTGCTGAGCAGGACCCTCCATAATAGGGGAGACCTGCCCCTCCCCCAGCGCGGCAGGAGGTGGCAATCCAGTGACCATGGTGTTTGGGGCCAGGGCTGAGGGGACAGGACGAAGCTGCTTGGTTAATTGGTGATGAAGTCTCCAGGTTTTTGTGTTTTTTGTTTTTTTGCCAGGACTGGCTTTGGCTTTGAGCTTTGATCTTCTAGGTCTCAGCAGCCTCCTGAGTAGTTAGGCTTGCAGGTGTGAGCCACAGGTGCCCAAACAGAGTCGGGTTATTTTTGTGCTGCTCCTCAGGCTCTTGTGCTCAAGGGTGGTGCCCTGCCACCTGAGTCACAGCTCCACTTCCAGCTTTCGGTGGCTCACTGGAGACGAGTGACTCTCGGGCTTCATTAACTGCCTGGGCTGGCTCTGAACTGCAATCTTCCCATCTCAGCCTCCTGAGTAGCTAGGATGACAGGCAGGAGCCAGCAGCACCTGGCTATTTTTTAAAAGACACTAAAGGCTTAGCTAGAAGCAGTTGGCTTCTAGAGGAGAGTAGCCAGGCAGGTTCTGTAGAGCTAGCCCTGACCCTCCCCCTTCCCCCTTCCCCCTCCCCCCCACCAGCCCACGCTGCCCCACCCCTCCCCTGCCCCCAGCAGCCCTGGGGCTGCACCACTCCTGGCTTTGGGCCCGGGCACTTCCTGTCTGGTGGAGAGGGCACTTCCTGATTACCCCACACGATTAGATAGGGAGCTTCACCCCGGCCTGGGAGCAGCCTGTGGATGGGGCCTGACCAGCTGAGTCATGTCCCTGCTGTCCCCCGTGTCCCTGGTGTGGGCTCTCCGCCCCTCTGGAGGGGAGTCTGTCCCCCCAGGGATCTTAGGGTGCTCCTGGCCTCTGCCTTGGCCCCAGCCCTGGCTGGTGAGGGTGCCGGTGGTCAGGGGCTATGGAAGCCGATGGGTGTTGGGCAGAGTGTCCCACCTTGAAGGGGCCGGCCGTGGTCCAGCCCCTGACCCCACGCCTGTCTCCTCACCTAGGTGGTCCAGGGTCTGATCATCGGGCGGCTGAGCCGCCGCTTCTCGGAGGAGAACTTGCTGCGGGCCAGCGTGCTGGTCTTCACCGTGGTGGGGCTGGGCATGGTGAGAGCCCCTCCTCCACCCCGCAGAGCTGGGGTCCAGAACCATCCCTGGTGCCCCAGGTGCTGGGTCCGCTGCCTGCCTCTGCCTTGCCCTCGCAGCCCCCATCCAGGCGTGGAAAGACCCGGGGGTGGGGGGGCTGGAAGGCGGGCCTCTCCCTGGCCCTGCGTGGCCCAGTGTGGAGCGTGTGGCGTGGCCGGTGTGGTCCCGCGTGGCCCGGTGTGGAGCTGCAGGACCCGGCTCACCATGGGCCCCTTCGCTGCCTCTGCCAGGTCCTGATGTCCAGCGTCTTCCACTTCTGCCTTCTGGTGCCCGGCCTGGTGTTCAGCCTGTGCACGCTCAATGTGGTGACGGACAGCATGCTGACCAACTCCGTCTCCTCCGCAGACACAGGTGAGGGCCACACGGGCGCCTGAGGGCCGTGCCTCCCTCCCCGCAGCTGGGGTGAGGACCAGGGGCTGCGGTGCTTCCGCGGTGGGCAGAAAGCGGGCGCAGGCGGACGGCTGCCTCAGGCCCTGCGGCCAGGCCAGGCCAGGGGCGCTGGGAGCAGGCCTTCCGGAGGTGGCACTCGGCCCTGCTTGGTTCATGGGCCTGGCTCCTCGGAAAGGGAGGGAAGGATGGCTGTCCGAACACAGAGGGTCCACTGAGCGAGGGGCGGGCTTCAAGGGTTGGGGAGAGCCAGTGGGAAGACAGCTGGGAAGACAGGCGTGATGGAGGGGGAGGGGGACAGCAGCCCAGGGGGTCTGGCCTCCCCCTTCCCTGGCATTAGTGTCCAGGGCTTCCTGAGCTCACAGTGAATGAACGCATGAATGAATGAATGCACACTGGTAGTGAAATCCAGGAATCCCAGACCTTCATATCTTACCAGACGCGTGTGTGTGTGTGCGCGCGCGCGCACGCGCCAGTGTTAGAGCTTGAATTTAGGGCCTGGGCTGTCCCTGAGCTTTCTGAGCCTTTTCACTTCAGGCTGGTCCCACTTGAGCTACAGCTCCACTTCCTGCACTTGGCTGGTTAATTGAAGCTAAGAGTCAGACTTCTTTGCCCGGGCTGATTTTGAACTGTGATTCTCAGATGTCTCCTGAGTAGCTAGGATTACAGGCGTGAGCCACTGCGCCTGATTGGACCCAGCTTGCCTTTTGTGGAGCAGGTTCCTGTCTGTGCCTTGTCCTGGGCGTGCGGTTCAGGTGCACGCTGGCTTGCCCAGGGGGAGGGGTGCTGTGGCTGAGGGCTAAGGCCTTGGGGCTTCTTCTTGAGCCTGAAGACTCAAGAGGCTGGGCCAGCCCTTCATCTCGCTGCCTGGGCGGGCGGCACAGAGGGGCTGTTCTGGGGCTGCTGCATGGGGCCCCTGAGGTCTAAGACAGCAGGCCTCCCCACAGTGGGCAGCCTGTGCTGGGAGGGAGGAGGGAGGAAGGCCGCAGGCCTGGTGGGAGGAGGGTGGAGCCCGGCAGGGAGGAGGCCCCTGGCCTCTGCTTGGAAGGCGTGGGACTTGCTCCCCTGGGAACCTGAACCACAGAGGGGGCGGTAATTGCCCTTGTCTGTTACAGTCTGTGGGCCATGTGGGCAGTGGGAGAGGCCACTCCCAAGGTTCCCCGCGGCTACTGAGCATGGGCCGGGACTCACAGGCCTGAGCATGGAAGCCCAGAACCGAAGATCCTCTGGGAAATGGGGAGCCGGGCTATGACACATGAGAGCTGAGCTGGGTGGAGACCCGGGTGGAGGACGGAGCGGCTCTGGCTACCCGAATGCGGCTCCCACCGTGCCCACCCCAGTTTTCACTGAGCCTTGCTGGACAACTCCAGCCTTGGCTTTCCTGGGGCCCCAGGTACTAGAAGAACAGGAGAGCTGGCCCCCCGGCCTGCCCTGGGTGGGAGCGAGCGAGGCCCAAGTATGACAGTATCTCTTGGCAAGCCCTGGAGGGCGTGGCCTGCAGCCTGACCTGTGACCCCATTCCCAGGCTCCTCTTATGCTCGGGAACTTTCTGGATAGAGAGGAGGCTAAGGTCATCATTTGGGGAAGTGCCTGTGTGGGGCCTCTGCCCGGCTGTGTGGTTGGGGGAGAGAGGGGGGTGAGGGGCAGGGTGGAGAGCTGGGCGGCGTCCATGGCCTCACTGCCCTCCGCTTCCCCAGGGACCATGCTGGGCCTCAGCGCCTCTGTGCAGCCGCTCACCCGCACGGTGGGGCCCACCTTGGGTGGCCTCCTGTACCGCAGCTACGGGGTCCCTGTCTTCGGCCACGTGCAGTTCGCGGTCAACGCCCTCATTCTCCTGGTGCTCTGGAGGACGCCGGTGTCCCAGAGCAGGGACAAAGCCCACTAACCCCTGCCCCAAGGACAATAAACTCTCTGGGACTTTTGCAGATTCTTCATGTCCATGGCGGGAGGCCTGGGCGCGAGGGACGAGGCTGGAGGCCCCAGGGGAGGACGCAGCAGAGTCCCAGGGACAGGATCCTCTAGCATTGTCTCCTACCACTGACCCAGCCCTTGAGTCGACTAACACAGCAGATAAGAAATCCCAGTTCCAAGCCAGCCCAGACAGGAAAGTCCACGAGATTCTTATCTCCAATTAATCACCAAAAAGCCAGAAGTGAAGCTGTGGATCAAGGGGTAGAGAACCAGCCTTGAGTGGAATAGTTCCCAGGCCCTGAATTCAAGCCCGAGTACCTCCCACCTCCCCACACACCAGAAGATAGGGAAGCAAGGCCTGGTAAGAAGCTGAGGGCTCAGGGGGTAACCCCAACTTCCCCCAGGCCCTCACAGTGGGTAGGCACCCCTGGTCACCAGACCTGGGCAGGAGGAGGGATTTGAGGGTGCAAGGGCAAGCCCTGGCGCCCCTTCCCTGCTCCCCGACACTCTCGCCCCAGGAGCTCCTAGGAATAGAAATCTACAGATTCCAGAATTCCACGAATGGCCAGCAGAAGGTGAGGGGCCTCAGACGGCCAAGTCCCAACCTCACTCCAGACCTAAGACCCAGGCCTGAGGCTCGGCCACCCCAAACGGGGTGGGAGAGGCCCCCACGGGGCATGTGTGGGTCTCAGGGCCCCAGCCCCACCGGCACAGGGACTTCACAGGCTTACACAGAATGTCCTCCTGTCTGAACACAGTGCCCAGACAAAGGGACAGTCCCCTATCCAGTAGGGATACCTGGAAGGACAGGGAGGACCCCTGCCCCACTGCAGGTGCGTGTCAGGGATTAGGGGACAGGGATTCGGACTCTGTCCTCCCTCCTGCAGGAAGGCCAAGGGAAGGCTGCATGCTCCCTGGAGAGGGGGAGGGGAGAATTGGTGTCCCAGCACCCAGGGAGGGGGAAGGGCCACAGCACTTCCCTGCTAGGCCGGCCTGCCTGCCACCACTCCAGCTCAGCCTGAGGTCAGAGCCAGGTGAGGAGGCACCTGCCGCTCCGCAGGTGTCTCAAGGTGTAGCGCAGGGGTCTGGTGGGCTCTTGGACCATGTCACCATCCTGGGCTGGCAGGGGGAGACCCAGACCAGCCCCCATCTATTCCGAAGCAGGACCCACCCTGCTAGCACTGGCAGGCTGCTGGACCGGAGACACCTTGGGTGCAGCCCAGGGTGGGGTCAGGAGCCCAGGCAGGCTGCCCGCTGAAGAGCCTCGGGTCAGCTGCGGGACAGGTGGTGTGTGGCAGGAGACACTTGAGGACCCCACCCTGCGAGGCGGCATGGCGCCTCGGTGTGGGGGTGTGCTGGCCTCGGATGGGTCAGTGAGCCAACTTCCAGCCGGCGGCCCTGCCGGCCGCACCCAGGAGCAGAGGCCAGCCAAGCCGCGCCCAGGGCACTTCCTGGGCTGGGGAGGCGGGGACCTGGCCTGGGCAGTGACACATTCATTCAAAGCTGGCTTCCGGATGGGGGTGACCCCCCCTCCAGGCCTCCCAGGAGGAACCTCACGGTCACAGCTGCTCAGTAAAAAAAGCACATATCGACACATTTATTTGGAATGGCACCAGGATGCAAAAACAAAATATTAAGACGGAACGGCGTAACAACAAAATAAATACATAGTCCAGTAATAAGTTAAGGCGCCCGCACAGCGGGGCGAGGGTCCGCGGGAGGTCGGGGCCGCCGCCTTGTCCTCGCGTGGTCCGCGGGTGGAAGCCGGCCTGGCTCCCCGACACGTCGGGCACCCCCGGGGCTCCTGCCCGGCAGCGGCCCGTGCGGTCCAGCGTGTGCTTCTGTGAGGAGAGGACTGGGTCAGGGCTGTGCCGGGGGGGCCCCCGACCCTGGGGACAAAGGCTGGCTGGGCGATCGCGGCGCCAGGGCCCCCGAAGGGTCCCCCTCCCCGCCCCACGGGCCCAGGCCGCGGCCCCCGGGACTCACCGCGACGCGGGCTCAGGGCGCGCGGGCCGCCCGGGACTCGGGCTGCGCGGCGGGCGCGGCGCGCTCCTGGCGGCCGCGGAAGTCCTCCAGCGCGCGGCGGTTCTGGAAGTCGATGAGCGCCAGCGTGATGGCCGCGTTCCAGCAGCTCTCGCCCGGGCAGCGGAAGTCGATCTCCTTGCGGTCGGTGGTGACGATGGTGAAGTAGATGTACTTGCCCGTGCGCTCCACGCAGTCCACCTTGAGGATGGAGTGGAAGCGCAGCTCCTTGGGGCGCGCGCCGGGGCCCGCGGGGAAGAGGCGCAGGCGGTCGGGGGTGAGCACGCCGCGCTTCTTCTTCCACAGCTGGAACAGGCTGTCGCTGCGCTTCTCCAGCTCGCCTTCGCGCAGCACCTCGCCGGGGGTCTTCATGTCCCGCGGGCGGTCGAGGTGGGGGCCGAGCCGGCTCTGCACGCCGCCGGCCCGGAGCGCTCCTTATATTCGCCCCGCCCCAAGCCGGGGCCACGCCCCCCGGGAGAGCCCCGCCCACACTCCAGGCAAGCCCCGCCCTCAGCCAGGCCCGGGACTGTGCCGGCCACTCTCAGGCCACGCCCCGACCCAGACCCGCCACGCCCACTCGGCTCTGCGCGGGCCACGCCCCCGTCCCCGGCCGAGCGAGGCCCCGAGGCCCGGGCCGACCCTCCTCCGCTTCGGCAGCGCACTCCCCTCCGGCCCGGACCCCCGGCCGCCCGGCCCGGCGGGGTGTGGCGGTGACTCGGGGTCCGCACCCCGCCCTCGCCGGGGGAATGCGCCGCAGCCGGCCCCGCCGGCGGTGACTCACCACCGGGAAGCCCCGAACCCCCGCCCCCAGCCGCCCGGGCTCCACGGGCAGGGGAAGCGGGGCTCCCCTCGTACCGCGCCCCCCGGGCGGGCCCCGCGTCCCGCCTTCCCGATGGGGGCCGAGCGGGGTGGGGGGGCGTCTGGGCCGGTACCGGAACGACGCGGCGCTCGGCCCTCCCTGTGCCCGGACTGGGGTCCCGGGGTTCCGGGGCGCGGCCCTGAGTCAGCGCCCGCCGGCCGCCGCCGCGCTCGCCCGGCCTTTCAAGGGTTTAATGGGAGCAGGAAGTGGACGCGGCTCCCCCGGTTCCCAGGGGTGGGGGCGGAGGCCCGGGCCCCGCGGGCAGCCCTGCGCAGCGAGGCCGCCCGGGCCCCGGCGAGCGCCGGCTCAAGGCCAAGAGCAACCTAGGTCCAAAGACCAGGGAGCCTGGCAGGACAGCGTCCTGGGAGCGCCAAACCAGGTCCTGGGCCCCCTGTCCCCCTCACGGGACCCCTCCCCACAGCCTCAACCCTGGCCCTAACAGGTCACCAAGGACCTGGACCGGGCTGTTGTAAGTGCTTTCCACCGTGTGCCTGGGTGTCGGGGGAGTCAGGGGTGTGAAGGGGCAGGGGAGCTGGGGGCGGGCTCAGATCCTGACCTCGGAGGAAGGAGACAGGTCTAGGGACTGCTGGACAAGGGCGTCTGGCCTGCCACAGGTGGGAAAGCAGGCCGCAGGGTGGCTGGGAGGGGGACCCCTGGCAAAGAGCTCAATGGGCTTCCAGCTGGCGAAGGCATCCCGGCCCCCCTGGCCTGGGCCGTGGGCACTGAGGCCTGGTTAAGAGGCCACGCTGAGAGCAGAGCCCAGCAAGGCCAGAGGGTGAGGGGCAGGGCTTCCGACGGCAGCCAGGGGGCCCAGGGCCATCTGTGTCCCCATCAGAGGCTAGTCAGTGGGGGCTCAGCTCCTGGTGTGGACACTTGCTATTACTTAAGTACCTATTGTGTGCCTGCGTGCCTGGCTGGTTTGGGGGGACTCGAGGAAAGGGGTCCCATTTCCCCTCAGGAGCACAGAACCGCCTCCCCCGCACCCTGTATGGGGAAAGAGAACAGAGGGCCAAGGGAGGGTCTTGTAGCGCCAGCACTGCCCAGAGAAGCTGGCACTGGACCCACCCGAGTCTCCAGGTGAGAAGAGGCCCGGGGCGAAGGGGCCGGTGGGGGAGCACAGGAGTGGCAGAAAGTGAAGACAGGAAGAGAGAGGCCGGGGCAGGTAGCCAGGCCACTCCCCAGCCTCAGCCCCATCCCACAGCCAAGTTCCTGCTGCTCTCTGGAGACAGATGCCAGCCTGGCAGGGGGTGTGCGGGTGAGATCAGGCGCTGGGCATCCAGAGCCCTGGGCCCCACAGCCTCCCCAAAGGCCTCCTGCCTGCCCAGGCCCCTCTGCTGTGCCCCTTATACAAGGTCAAGCCTGGGGTGGGGGGCGGGGATGGACAGACACAACTCCTCTTGGCTTGCTCCCCTTCCACACCCATCACCCGGGCTGCCTGCCCCAGGGACCTGGGCCACTGGGCCACCAGAGTGGCTGGCCCCACAGCGGCAGGACCTGGCTAGAACCTGCTTCTCCAATGACACCCCTAAGAGATGGTCACAGACGCTTGGAGGACACATGATGTGCCAAGTCCCACTGCCAAGACACTGACCCAGCCCTGGGCTGGCTGAGTGCCCTCCCCCCCCGAGCCCCTCCCCCCCCCGTGGCTGAGGTCAGCATGGAGCAGAGCTCTGACCAACAGCCCAGGTGAAGAGTTTGGGGGACCCCAAGCCTCAGGTAGCCAAGAGGGAGGTGCAGCCTAGAGGCCAGGCCAAGGCTAGGGTGGCCTCATGGAAGGTGTCTCTCCCATTCACGGTCACTCAGGAAGTGGGGGCCCAGAATGGTGCAGTGACCCAGCCCATGTCACACAGCAAACCACGGTCGTGGGACTAGAAGGGCTCTTCTGGAGGGTGTGGGGCTGGGACAGTTCATGGCTGACTCTCAGCGGGAGGGGCAGGGCTGGGCCCCGGGTTGTGGCATCAGTCAGCATCAGTCCTGGCCAAGTGTACTGATATTTATCCAAGGGTCTCCATCTGGGGTTCCCAGGGAGTGTGGACAGAGGGGGACACCCAACAGCCTGGACACTCCGGGTCCTGTGTGGCTGCAGTTCTGGCCCGGGAGCCCGGCCCCTCGAGGCTGTCTGGCTGGAGAGCAGGGAACCTTTTGAAGCTACTGGAGTGAGGTGACGAGGCCAGCTCCCCAGGCACCTGTCCGACCCGCTGGGCAAGGCCAACAGCCGTGAGGAAGCTGTGTCACGGAGCTGGCAGGGCGCCCAGGGCCTGGCACCACCCTCTTCCTGTAGGCCCTGCTCACAGAGGCTGCCCCGTGCAGACTCCTCTGCCTTTCTCAGGAAGCCCTCCCGGATTGCCAGGGGGGCCACCTCCCCACCACCAGCCTTGCTGGTATTGAGGTCCCTGTGCCCACAGGGCAGGATCCTGGGGGGCTGGAGGGGCACCCACCTGCCACCTGTCCGAAGCTGACAGGGCCTGTGGGCCAGGTCCTGTGACTCAGGCCTGCTCTGGGTCTGTCTTCCCAGCTGCAGCCTGAGAAAAGTGAGGCGCGGGTGGAGGCCACCCGGCCCGCCCCACCTGGTTTCAGGCACCCACTTTCGGCCTGGTGTCGGCCTCCCAGGGCTGCACCCTGGCTGCCCGTGCTTGTGGTTCCCTGAGCCCTTTGCCTCTTAAGTGGGTGGGAACTGACTAAGTGATATTTCAGCCAATACCCCCCTTCCCCTTCCTCCATCATCGGTGAACTCCTATTCACCACTTAGTGCCCTTCTCAGAAGCTATCACCAGCCCTTGGAATTCTGAGTCAGGAAAGTCTGTGAGACTCTCATCTCCAATAAACCACTAGAAAACCGGAAGTGGTGCCGTGGCTCAAGCATGGAGCGCTCACCTTGAGCTGAAAAGCTGAGGGACAGCGCCCAGGCCTAGAGTTCAAGCCCCATGACGCACAAAAGAAGAAAAAGAAAATGGACATAGTGGCTAAAGGTCACGGCATTGTTTCAGTACCTAAGGTTGAACGCCCCGCCAGGCACCAGAGGCTCACACCTGCAATCCTTCTCAGGCCAAGGCCGAGATCTGAGGAGCTCAGTTAGAAGCCAGCCCACACAAGATAGTCTATGAGATTCTCTTCTCCAATTAACCAGCAAAAAGTCAGACGTAGAGATGAGGCTCAAGTGGTAGAGCACCAGCCTTGAGCAAAAAAGCTCAGGGAGTGTCCAGCATGGGTGTGCGCGTGCACACACACACACACGCGGAAAGGTGGCGTGTGGTACATGGTGAGTGTGTCCTGCTGTGGGGAGGGGGTGCCCTCAAGCTGGCTGGAAGTGTCCACGGGGCTGTCTGAAGCGAGGGGTGGGGGGTGAGGAGGGGGGAGGAGCTCAGCAGAGGGACCTGGCCCACCTTCAACTCATATACGCACTGGGCGGGCTGGAGGTTCATTCAGGAAGGGCCCTGGGGAGCCTCAGGGAGCCCCTCTGCCCGGCAGGCTGGCTGCACACCCGAGCCCAGCGGACGGGGCTCTGGGCTGGGTGGCATTTGATGGTAGCGGTGGGTAGCTCTCGGTCCTGGGGGAGCAGGTTTGGGACACACGCATTCTGGGGAAGCAGCTGGGGGGTGGGGCGGTGGACGCGCAGGCCACTGGGCCTCAGGGCCGCCACTCGGCGGACACAGGCCTTGTTGGTCTCTGCTGCTCTTCTCCTGCCTCTCTCTGGAGGCCCTAGCCATCCCCAAGGTCCCTTCGCCCCCCCAGCCCCTCATCATGGAAGAACACTCCGCACTTCTGGGTGCAGAACGTGGGCCTGTCTTCTGCACCCGCCTCCTCTTCCCACCCCACAGGACAGGCCAAGTGGGGAGAGGGGACAGCGTGTCTAGCCCTCCTCTCAGCCCACCCAAGGGGACCTGAGGGGGTTCTGGCAGCTCTCCTCCCACTCCTCACGGCACGGGGTGTGGGGGGATGGGCAGACACACTAACCCAGGGTCCCTGCCCTGCCCCAGCGGGGGAGGCTGTGCCCCAAGGCCTCCGAGCAGCCTGGCAGCTGGCAGCAGCTGTCCCAGACCTGGGGAGATGCTGTGGCCATCTCCCTGCGGGGGGGGGGGGTAAGGTGGGGAGCAGCCCTGGCTGGCCACACTGGGGCCTGAGGGGGAGGGGGCTTCTCCCCACTTTCTGGAGACTCCCAGAGAACTGGACGGAGAACGCCGGGCCAGGCACTGCCCGTGCCCAAGTCCGGTTGTCATGGAAAGTAACATCCGGCCGCGCCCTGGAGGTGACTCAGCAGGCCGGGCACACTGGAGCAGAGGTGGCGGTGAGGCTGTGGGGCGCCGCCCAAGGTGACTGGGCAGGTGTGCCTGGCTAACAAGTGTCCAGGTCAGCATGGGACCTACAGGACAGTGGCCTCCAGGTCTCAGCATCTGGAATTTACTCCAAACACACGGCTGTTAAAAAGCTGGGTGGGAGACAGGCACTGGTGGCTCAAGCCTGTAATCCTAGCTACTCAGGAGGCTGAGATCTGAGGATCACGGTTCAAAGCCAGCCTGGGCAGGAAAGTCTGAGACTCTCATCTCCAATAAACCACTAGAAAACCGGAAGTAGTGCTGTGGCTCAAGTGGTAGAGCGCTCACCTTGAGCTGAAAAGCACATGGTCAGCACCCAAGCCCAGAGTTCAAGCCCCATGACTGACAAAACAAAATCTGGCTGGCTGAGCCTGAGGAAGGCCCCGGGGCCCTGAACAGTGTGCGCTGGAGGGCGGGGCAAGGGCTGCCCGGCCACGTGGGGTGCGACCGGGTGAAAGTGGGTGGCACCCATCTGCAGAGATGAAAGGAGCCCCCCCCCCCACTGGCCAGGAAGGGCCAAAGGTTCACTTACATGGGAGGCGGCAGGGGCCCAGGCCCCTGCCCCACACCTGCTACCTACTGGGTGACAGCCGCCAGCCAGCATTTAAGGGCCAGAGCCAAATAACCCAGGGGGAGTGGCAAATAAGATAGAAGCCTGAGGAGACCAGAGGCCAGCGTGAACAGCCCAGGGCCTCTACCTCCACACGCAGACAGCAGGCGGCGCAGCCCGCTCAGCTCCGTTCTTAGGACTGGGGCGGCTGGGGCCAGGCCGGCGGGCTTGGCCTTCTAGGTTCCTTGGGCCCCATCACCTCCAGGTGGTAGGAGCTGCAGGGCTGTGCTCACCCTTCGGCTTGGCCCTGCCCTAGGCCAACAGGTCCTGAGCCTTCAGAGCAGCCTGGCCACAGGAGCAGGGTGACCTGGGCGCCCCACCCCTGTGGGGCTAGGAGTCAGGCATATACTGGTGTTGGGAGCCCACCAGCAGCCACGTGAAACCCAGGTCAGACCACTGGAGCCGCGGGGGTGACGACAGCACCGGGGAAGCACTGGGGGCTGACGCCCTCAGCACCTCAGGAAACCACAATCCTGAGCCGAGTTGCCCACTTCTGGGAACTTTCGAGGTCTAACTTACACGCAAGCAAATGTCCCTATTTTATGATTTTATTCTGTGTGCTGGTGCTGGGGCTTCAACTCGGAACCTCACACCCTGCTTAGCCATTTTGCTCGTCTGGTGTTCTATCATTTGAGCCACAGCTCCATTCCTAGCTTTTTGCTGTTAATTGGAGATGAGTTTCAAGGTCTTTTCTGCCCAAGCTGGCTTTGAACCTTAATCCTCAGGTGTCAGCCTCCTGAGTAGCTAGGATTACGAGTGTACACCATCAGCAGCTGGCCTAAACATCCTCATTTTAAGGGGACCATGATGCAGTCAGGTCCGCCTCCTAGATGGCCCCAGGTCAGTTTAAATCCAGACACAGCCATTTCTGCTGTGCTCTGTGAACCTGGGTGTGAGCACACCCTACGGTGACCACGTGGAACGGCTGGGTGGGTGCTGGTCTCACAGGGGCCCTGCTAACCGGCCTCCTGTAGACCCTGGAGCAGTGGCCCACGCAGATAAACACAGGCCGAGAGGAAATTGTTCAGGGACAGTGCCAGGCCCAGAGTTCAAGCCTCGTACACCAGCACAAACATAACAGAGGGGGAACTTCTCCTGCAAAGCACTACTGCTTGGAAGCCTGTGTATGAGACTCCAGTAACTGAGTCTCGGGGGACTCCCAGGAGGTGGGGGTCTCATTCAGAAAGGGAGATAAAATGCCAGTACCCCAGCAGCTCACCATTTACCCTCACTGCTCCTAAAGTCCCCGTCAGGCCGCACCCAGTCGGAACCAAGGGTGGCATGCACCAGTGGCTGCTGGTGCCTCCTGACTGTGCCACCAATGCCCACAGCCACCTGGACATGTGCTAGGCTCGCTCACTCACTTGGCCAACAGTCAGGGCGTGCAGTACAGAGCGTGTCCTCTCAGATTCTCATGGCGTGTACCGCCAGCATCAGAATGAATGTTGCAGGTGCAACAGCGCCCCCTTCAGGGAGGCTGAGCCTCTCCACCCACTGCCCGTAGGAGGCAAGGTAGCTAGCTAGCACACTGACAATTGTCCCTGTGAAGTTTATGGAAATTACCCAGGCACTTAGTTTTCTGAGTCACTGCTGGTCTTCACATTACCCTTGAACTGCATGTTTATGGACACCCAGGAGACAGTGACACCTAGAGCTGGGAACATTTCTACCCACCTGGTTTCCACCCTTTCCAGTGGCTGCCCACCAGTGTCAGCTGGGTGCTGGGCCTGCCGTGGGCAGCCGGGCAAGATCAGAGCCTGCCTAGATGGGGAGAGCAGCTGCCCAGCTCCAGGTGGAAGGCAGGGCCTGCGGCTGGCCACCAGAAGAGCCGGCTCTGAGGCTGCTCCCCCTGGAACCCAGTCTCTTCCTGGCCGGACACAATCAGATGGTTTAGCAAGACGTCTGCCCAGCAGGCCTTTCTGATAGGGTGGGGGGAGGGCGGGCGTGGGCGACGCGTCCCTTCATTGGGGAGCAGGTGACAGCTCTTGGCTCTCTACAGAAAGCTTCCTGTGGGTTCTGATCTACCCAGGCATCATCCTCAAGGCCTCTCCTGCAGTTTGCAAAGGGCTCCTAGCCCACGCTTCAGTCAGACAGCCTGCTTGGTGTGTGTTGGGGGGAGGACGAGACACTGAGGTGAGGGCAAATTACACGCAGCCACTTCCTAAAAATGAGCTTTCAAACCCCAAACACAACATGAAGGCAGAAGAGCAGCCACGGCCAGAGCCCCAAGCACAGCAGGCGCGGGGCTCCATCAGCACTGCACAGAGACACAACTCAGCTCGGCTCATGTTTCACAACTTTAATAGAATATTCTAACTATTCTGTACAAATTGAAAACACCGTATTCAGTTACAAATGCGTTATCAGGTAAGGCTGCGCACTCTAAATGCCTGCTGCCGGCTGGACCTGCTGTCCCCGCAACCACCAACACACACTCAAACCCCACACACGCGCCGCAACAGGCCACACCAAACCCAGGGCTGAAGACAGGACAGGGTGGGGTCAAACAGGGGACACTGAGGAAAAGAGACTAGAGGCTCACACAGAACAGCCACCTCACGCGGCAGCGCCACAGGCCCTGGCTCCAGCCCCGCCCCGTCTGCAAAGCGGGTCAGAGCGCTCTCATCCATCCTTTCCCTCAGTCACCAGGTAAACGCCAAGGCGGAGCCCCCCCCGGCTCTGGCCCCAGAGCGCACCCCAGAAACCAGGAGAACGTGGCCACACTACCAGCTCTCCGGGGATGGCCCACCCACAGCAGTCAGCGGCTGCGAACAACGGGGGCAGTGGAGGCTGCAGCACCAAGCACACTGCTCTGCCCAGGCTCGACCCCTGCCTCCCTGCCTCCCTGCCCACCCCGCATGGTCTCAGCCTCCCAAGGGCAGGGCCAGGGAGGTCCAAGGCTGCAGAGGCGCTAGAACTAAGCCTGCTACTTCTGAAATGCAGTTCCGTCGCCACTGTACAAGTTAAGCAAAGTAAGAAGGAAAGGAAGGGTGAAAGTGAAGTCATGCACTTGGAAGGGTTAGATGTCAGCACGCCGCGTGCGGGCCGCTGCAGGGCCGCCCACAGGCGCTGGCAGGCCCGCTGCTCCTCACTGCTGCTTGCATTCCGCTGGCTGGCCGGCTTCTTTCTGCAGGGAGAGAACACAAGGCCTTGTAGAGAGCCAAGGCAACGCCGCTCACCACCATCTCCAGCCCACCACGGCAGCTAGCCCACGGGTTCGCATCAGAAGTGGGTACTGGGGGCAAGAAACCAGAGCTGACCCCCGCAGTCACAGCAGGCTGGTTTTAAGGGCACCTAATCAGTGCTGGTGGAGGGAGGGGGGCTGTGTGTGAGGCCCCACCACAGGCACAATGGCAGAGCCCTTGCCACCAGCACAGCCGGTAATCCCCAGCACCACACAGGCACAATGGCAGAGCCCTTGCCACCAGCACAGCCGGTAATCCCCAGCACCACACACGTTACTGACTGCAACTTGGCATCGGCACTGCCTTGTGAAGTCACGTCTTGGGGTATGAGCACACAAGGAACAGGGAGCCTGTGGAGGAGCCCCGAGCGGGAGCGGGGGTCAGGCTGCTCGGCCTGCATCTCAGCTGCTCTGCAGGTTGCCAAGGAGCCCAAAACAAAATACACTCAAAATCCAAGCCAAAAAGATGCCAACCAAGTATTGTCAGGCTGCTATGAAAGGGTGAGCCCGGCGGAGGCTGGGGCAGTTACTGGCCTCTGAAGTACGAAGTGGGGCGTCCCTGGCAGCTGCAGCAGAGCAACTAGTGAGAGGACGGGCAGGAAATGGACGTCACGGGCTGGGGCCCTCGGATCTAGCTCCCCCACAGCTCCCCACACACCCCAGAAAGGAAGAGGGCTTAGCACAGTGCTCACACCTAAGGTTTCAATTATTGGGTGATAGAGATCAATGTGAGCTTGGGGAAAGACTGGACAAAGAGTTAGTAAGATCCCATCTCAACAAACTAGGTACTATGGTGTTCATCTGTAATTCCGGCTACACAGGGGCAGGGATGTGGGATCATAGTCCAACAGTCAGCCAGCCCACCTAGGCAAAAAACTTGAGACCCAATCTACAACATTTTATCGGGAGGGGGAGGTGCTGGTACTGGGGCTTGAATTCAGGACCTGGGCAGTTTTAATTTCTAGCTTTTTGGTAATTAATTGGAGGTAAGAGTCTCGGGCTTGTCCCAGGTGGCTTTGAACCACAGATCTCAGCCTCTATATAGCTAGGATTTCAGATGTGAGCTGCTGGCACCTGGCCTCCTCCACATCTTTATGCATACATAAATCACATATACACAATGTCACCTAACAAGGGGTTGTTGTGTAATTTATCTTGTTTACATAATTGAAGTAACAATTTCAACCACAAGAATGTAACATCTCTGACCTAAATAAAACCAAGGCTAGAGCTGGAGCAGAGACCGAACATGTGCCTGTTAAGAGTTCAAGAGGACCTGGTTCAACTCCCACCCCCACCCTGAGAGAGAAGCCCACCAGACTGTCTCATCCAACACAGATATGAGCAGGCCTGGCTACGGTGAGGGCAAAGAGCTCCAGGAAAGGCAGCGGTAACTGGGGAAAGCCTATGCCTCTCAAAGTGCCTGCCTCTCCAGGTCTGCAGGTACTCCACTCCTCCAGGGAGGAAGCCTGCGACAGCCAAAGTCAAACTGCAACTCAAGTGGGTGTGGTCACTCAGCTATCTAGCCTAAAAAATGGAGCCCCGACCCTTCAACCAAAGCTTTGCCAGCAGGAGCCTGGCTTCAAGGGTGGTCGGCGGAGAAGGCTGGAAGGCAGACCTCTAACCAGCACACCTCATTCCACCAGCTGCACCAGGCACAGCTCCCACCAGGGTATCTTGGACCGTTTCACGTAACTGCTGGTTCAGGTGCATGGACGCCAGGCCAGGGAACCCACCAAATTGTGTGGCCATCGGGGTGAGCCTTCTTCCCCAGGAGCAGCAGCCCCTGCCATGGCACGTGATGCACACGGCCCCTACGCCTTTCTTCTTCCTCCCACTGCATCCTAGAAAGCGCTGAGCACCCTCGGGTAGGGACTAAACTGGCTCTTCCCTCCTCTGACCAAAACTGTCCAACTCAACTCCCCGAGAACATCTCATCCATCGTTCTGCAGAGTTCTCGCGGGCCCTATCTACTGCCGCCGTGTCTGATCCCATCTCAGTGCAGATGGCACAGTTGGGGACAGCTGGCGGGGCACTACCAGGCCTGCTGGTCCACAGGGACTTCTGTGCCACCCAGCCAGGTCCTTACTCTTCCTCGAGAGCATGCACCTGACGGACAGCTTGTAACTTGCTGCACTCAGCCAACCGGGGGCACATCTACCTGTGGCTGCCCATTTTACAAACCCAGTAGCAGAGCCCATAGGAGCACTGGGCTTGCAAGGCCCTAGCACAGCCCTGCAGAGGGGCTGGCGCACCTTCCTATGTCCCAAAGACAACGCAGGGCACAGACCAAGTACAGACAGAAGTTTCAAATTAGGTATGAAGGGATTCCACCTTACCTAGTAAGAACGCATGAATGATTAACAAAAATTACACCTAAATGGGGAAAAAATTGAAAGGAACTGTCAGCATGAAAGAAAATGACAAGTATAAAAATCACACAGGAGGTAGCAGCCACGTTCTCCTGACAGAGCTGCAAGGTACCAGGTGTACAGGTGCAGCCCAGCTGCCTTCCCTTCAAACACGGCCACCAGGCAAGACTACTCGTGCCAACACCAATGCCCTTCCCTTGTTTCTCCATGGTGACCCTTTGCTGGGGGTGGGGGAGGAGGACCACGCACAAAGGGACACAACTGCCTCAGGCAGCCTGTGCTGGCAGCTTAGCCATATCTTTGCTCCTGGCCAACACAACCAATCAGAGGTGCCAGCAGGTGATGCTAGCCATCTGCAACTACCTGGAGAGACGCTATTAGAAACCAAGGGTGAGAGGAGACAGGCCCGGCAGGGTGAGGACTGCATGCAACAAAGGAGAAAGGAAGGAAACCCACAGACCAACAGTGAGACACAAACAGCACGATGCCACGGTGCCCCAGGCCAGTCCTCGGTCCCTGCCAACTACGGCCACGGCTACCCCATGCCCACAGGGTGGCATGTTCAGTGCACACACCTGGCTCATGTTCACCAAGCAGTCCCCCGTCACTCCCAGAGTGCGGCCATAAGATTATTCCAGCGTGGTGGTCAGGAGGCACATCTCTGCGAATGGAGGCCCTTCCCCTCCCACCCTTCCCCAGGGCCCGCCCGCTATGAACATAGTGCACACAGATGCATGACATTGGTGTGCAGACTCTTCCTCCATGTGTGCATGGTGTCTGCGCAGACCCTTCCTTCTCCCACCTTCTATCCTCCTCTGGGGCCTGCCATGTGCACACAGGTGTGACATGTATGTGTATCCTTCCTCCACCTGTATCCGGCATCTGTGTGCCCTTCCTCCTCCCGCCATGTGCACACACGTAGGATGTGTGCCCTACGTGTGCATGGCGCCTGCATCCGACACTGGCTGCAGCACAGAGGCACGACACTGGCGGAGTCCACTGTAGGGCAAACAAGGGGCAGCACAACGAGACCAGACGGAGACCACAGAGATGCCAGCAATGCCACACCCACTGTGCATGCTTCCGTTGGCATGCAGGGACTGTGGCTTCCTGCGCAGGCTCATGCTGCACTTGCACAAGGCCAGCTGTCAGTGGGAGGTGGGCTCAGCTCCCTGACCCATACTTGCTGAGACCATGGATAAAAACTGGGGGAGCTGCTAGATGGAGATACCTGTTCATTTTTCTTTTAAGCCTGTTTTCTCTATCAAACCTTGCCATTTATTTTAAATGAGCTGAAACAGATTTACCCATTTGAGATCTCTAGGCACTCTCAGCCCAAGCCTAACCCACAGTTCTGCTTTCTGCTCATCAGTGCCAGGGAACACTCAGAAGCCCGTGGGACTTTACTTCCTAAGACATGCCCCGACTTCTCACCCAAAGCTCCTCGGCTATACACACTGAAGCTGTTTGGGGAGACAGGAGCCTCAGAATGCAGGCCAAGCTGGCACACACTTGTGCTCCTCTTGCCTCTTATCTCCCTAGAGCTGGGATTAAAGGCGTGTACCGCCATGCTCAGCACAATTCTACCTCAACGTGAGCAACACCTCTTCAAAGTCCCACAGTAGAGCACCTGCTGGTTGGGGAACCCCAAATAACTGACCTTAGGGTTAATTTCAGCATCTTCTTCCTCTTCTCCCTCCTCATCACCTTCCAACTCCTGTATTAAAGGAGAGAGTTATTTGGAAAGACTAAGATGGGACCATGAAAGCAGCCCTTGATTTAGAGGAAGCCTGTCCCCGCCACACCCTATGGTAAAACCATTTTGTCTGTTCACTGACAAGCCTGAAATAAACACACGTTTCTAAAGAAGATCATTTTCTCACATCTGGAAAAGGTGCGATTTCTTTAACATTTGTGCCAGTGCTCGGGCTTAAGCAAGGCTAGTGCTCTACCACTTGAGCAACAGCTCTACTTCCGGCCTTTGTAGCAGTTAACTGGAGGTAAGAGCTCACAGTCTCTCCTTTGCCCAGGCTGGCGTTCAACCATGATCCTCAAACCCCACCCTTGAGTGGCCCGGGCCTTTGGCACTGGGCATGGGTTTATTTTCTAAAGGTATATTTTGGAAGCAATTTCAGGGTGACAAATATGGGCTTGGTGCGGCATGTGTATGTATTTGTGTCATTGCTAAATAGGGGTGCAAGAATCAAAGGGGACTGGGAAGGTGGCTCAGTGGTAAGAGTGCTTGCCTCACATGCCTGAGGCCCTGGGTTCGATTCCTCAGCACCACATAAACAGAAAAAATAAAGCTGGAAGTGACGCTGTGGCTCAAGTGGTAGAGTGCTAGCCTTGAGCTTAAGAGCTGAGGGACAGCGCCCAGGCCCAGAGTTCAGGCCCCACAACCAGCAAAAAAAAAAAAGAATCAAAGGTGACCCCCGCCACATGGCAGCACAACCCACATGGGCAACATGAGGGCAGTGCCAGTACACACTCTCCATGTCTTACCTCCTCTTCTCCTTCCTCGCCTTCTTCAAACTGGAGTGGGAAAAACCCAGAAAAAACATTAAGATTATAAAACTTAATGGTAGCCTGCCAACCAGCACCCCCACCAGCCGGGACTGAGAAAGAGGGAAGTCTGGAGCCACTTGCTGCACAGGAGCCACCTAGGCAGAGGCAGCTGCGGGCTCTGGGGACACACTGCAAGCTCAGGCTAGGCTGCGGCGCACATGGGAACCTGTGTCTTCACGGGACATGAGTGAAAGTCACTCCAATCAAGGGGGAGGAGGGATGGACAGCGCGGGGCACCAGGAGGTGCCAGGCGTGACAGGCTGGACCCACGTGGGAACCTGGCTGACTCTGCTCCCACTCTCATCTTCAGTCTAAACTGCTGGCAGTGGAAGAAGCTTATCTATAAGGCAATGAATCCATTTTTTTTCTTACCTACACAGCTAGCTGGGAGTATAAGCAGTGGGTTTTTTATTCAATCAGTGTATATGTGTATGTACACATGTGTACGTGTATGTAAAAGCTCACATGTGTGTGTGTGTGTGTGTGTGTACTGGCCACCAAAGTAACACTTGGTGCCAGAGCCCATCAAGCAGGAGCCACAGAGGCCACACAGCTACCAAGGGAGCAGCCGGGCGAGGGGTGGGGCGGGCATTTCTAATCCTAGTGAACACGACCCACTGGCAATGCGCATGCACTGTCTCCATGCTGCCTGCTCAGGCAGTGATGGCTAATCCACCCAGGTCAGCCCCTGCCATTTCAGCTAACTTAAACGAGGACTCTTTATTCAAAGGGCCACACTCAAACAAGCAGGACATGGACAGTCCTTCCTGGAGAGGACAGAGTGCTTAAGACAGCTTGCAGAGTCTCCAGTGGGAAGCCCTGGTCTAAACCTGCTGTGTGATTGGCCTGTCCTGAGACCTGCCCCTCTACAACTCTGCACTCAAGAGGCCTGCCCATACTCAGTGGGTCCACATGCCTTGTTTATAGCCATCCACTTCCAGCCAGGGTAAGCACCCTTCAGAAGTTAAACAATGAATTCTGGGTCCCTGCTAGCACACACCGGGAAAGATGTAAGGAGCCATGGCTCAAGAGAGAGCGAGCTCCAGCACTGAGGATGAAACCGACAAGCTACAGAAGAGAAGTCTATCTCCTAGAGTGCACAATATCCTATACCAACCCATGCCTGGCACCAAACAGCACTTGGGGCCCCTCTCCCAGCAGCCTGCAGGAGCTGCTACCCCACAGACTTGCGTGGAACTACTGCCAACCACGGTGTGGCAGGGCCCAGCCTCTCTGTGGTTTCCAAGCACTCAGCCCCTCCCAGGACATGAGCTTTCTGCCCCTTCTGAGGTTTTCAGATCTGCCACATGGGCTTCTTCCACTGCAACTTCTCCAATTGTCCCCTTCTGCATCTATCCCCCCCCAAACACAGGAGAGAGGGGACATCATGTGCCTGGCTGACGACGAAACTCAAATCAGCCCCCCTTGCACATACATGGTCATCGTCCTCTATGGCCTCCCCCGTGAAGTAGAGCACGGCCCGCGGCACTATCCGCTCTCGGAAGAAGTGTCCAATTTCAAAATCAGAGGCTAAAGTGAACTCTGAATCTTCATCCTGAGGGGAAAAACCAACAGGTTGACTCATCTGGGTGGGGCAAACACATTTATCTGCTCAAATCCCCTACCCAATTTTCACCCTCCACTCCTAGCTCACTGGGCTTGACGCAGGGTCATCACATACTCAAAGCCAAAACTGCAGAACAGGTAGAGCTCAGAGTCTGCAGTTCTTCCTCCACCTGCCCCAGGTTTCAAGCTAGAGGTACTGGAGATCCTAACAGTGAACCCCAAAACTTGGAGGACTCCTGTCTATTCCTCAAGCAAAAGACATAGGGAATACTCCCTTCTCCCCAGCCCCAGGGTGTAATGACTATCTTAAAGAATGGACAGGAATGGATTGAAAGGAAAGAGGAGGCCCTATTCAGGAAAGAGAGACTCAACCAGAAAACAGGACTTTGACAACACAAATCTTACCAGTGATTCTCCATCCCCAGAGGCTAGAAAAAGAAAAGACAAAACATGTACATTACATTGACAACCAAAAAAAATGTAAAAGCCCACAAGAGGATGCTCAGCTGACAAAGGAAATGGACACTTCTAACCCCAAGGGTTTTAAGGCTAGACCCCACCAGAATCCTTGGATGGTTTCTCAGGCTCCCACCAGAGCCTCCCCTGACCCTGACCTGCTCCCCCCAGACCAGGCCCAGCTAGCCAAAGTTAAGAATCAGAAAAGCACGAGAGCAGTTTAAAAAATGGACAAGGAAGAAGCACAGGCTGAGCTGAGGCAGCACAGCTCTGCTGCAGAAATGGAGCTCCTGTCTGTCACTGGGAAAGGCAGTAAGCAAGTGTCTGCTGTGTCCCCCACAAAGGGTACAACTCTCTTGCCAAGGCTAATGCATAGACATGGTCAACACATACAACAACAGACTGGTGCTGACATGGAAATAGCAGAACAGAAGAGGGACTTCTGACCACATTCCATGAAGCTAAGCCATGGCCAGATGAACAATGTATAATCCTGGCTGAAAACCCAAGTCACAGGGTACAGACAGGCAATCTTGCCTACGGAGACACAGGTTAGGAGGATCAGGGTATAAGACCAACCCAGAGTAAAAGGACCCTATATGAAAGACTAAAGGCCAAAAAAAGGACTGGGGATATGACTCAAGTGACAGAGCACTCTTCTAGCAAGCGGACCCTTGGCTTACCCCTCAGTTTCTGTCACGCACATGTGCATACTGTGGACTCTGCAGAAGCTCAAATGCAGAGTCCACCTTCTTCCTCCAGCACTTGACTTCTACACTGGTTTGTAGGAATAACAGAGTAAAAACCCAGGAGCCAGTGGCTCACACCTGTAATCCTAACTACTCAGAAGGCTGAGATCTGGGGATTGAGGTTTGAAGCAGCTCAGGCAGGCAAGTCCATGAGCCTCCTATCTCTTAATTAATTACCAAAAAGTCCGAAATGGAGCTGCAACTCAAGCGGTAGAGCACTATAGCCTTTAGCACAAAAGATCAGAGACAGTGCCCTAGGACATGCCCAAATAGAGAGCAGGTTCTGGGAGTAAAAAAGAGGAGAAAATGCAAGGGAAGACAGTAAGTGCACACAAGACTGGTTCATCTTCTGAGTGGAGTGAGGGAGGGAGGGAGGAGAAAGCTCAAGCCATGATCAGGTTGTTGAAGGGAAGACTACTATGATTAGAAAAATGGTCCAGGATCTGAGGAAGTACTCACTCTGAAAGACTGGAAGGAGATGAGAAATCTGAATGACATTTATAAGTCTCATTAACGAGAAACACTAAAACAAATGCATTTGGTTTCAAAAACATTGCTTAATTTCTATCATCTGCCAAGACTTTCCAACTATTTGACATTTACTCTTGTGTTAAACACTTGTACAAATATAATGTGAGTATGAATTAACTGTACATTGGAACTTCAGGCAAAAATTTAAAAATTAAGTCAGGTGCTGGTGGCTCACGCCTGGAATTCTAGCAACTCAGGAGGCTGAGATTTAAGGATCATGGTTCAAAGCCAGCCTAGACAGGAAAGTCCATGAGAATCTTATCTCCAATTAACCTGAAGTGGTACTATAGCTCAACTGGTAGAGCGCTTGCTTTGAGCTGAAGAGCTGAGGGACAGGCCCAGAGTTCAAGCCCCACAACCTGCCCAATATTTATTTATTTATTTATTTATTTAAAATACAAAGTCCAGAATAGCACTTTTGTAACTGCCCCAAGTATATCATTACAAAGATTTCTGAACTGCAAGCTGTTTGTGAATATACAATATACTGATTATAAGGTGATTGTGTAGAGGACAGTGTAGGCTGCACAGAGGATACTGGTGTCAGCCATGAAGCTGATGGCTTCATAACCACTATGCAGTGCCGCAGTCACTTTCATCAACAATGGGCTATTCTTGGAGAAACAGACATGTATGTCCAATTCAAGCTTATTATTTTTTTTTTGGGGGGGGGTCTGGTTGTGGGGCCTGAACTCTGGGCCTGGGCACTGTCCCTCAGCTCTTCAGCTCAAGGCTAGCGCTCTACCACTTAAGCCATAGCGCCACTTCCG